TGTTTTCACGAGGACGTGCTATTCTCACGAGATCAGGACTTTAGTAACTTTACTCAAGTTAGCCACATGTATGGCTGAGTAGGTTAAGCTTCGGCTTTCCAATCAGCAAGGCCGGGTTCGATGCCCACTATGGCCCATGTGGGCAGTCCACTCAGCTGTGCATCCCTCGTCTGCACTGTATGTGCGGTGGGTCGGCGTAAATGAGTACTGGCCTAACCAGGGGAGAATTCTGTCAGAGAGTCAGTGTCGGTGGCTACGTGAATCTCTCGGTACTCTCATTCCGGCCGCCCTGGCCATAACTGGGCAAAATCCGACCATAGTCGCGGGGTGAGCCTCAGGCCCCCGTATAGCAGAAAAAAAAAGTTACCGGCTGAAGGACGATCATGGTGATGATGGTGTATATGTCAATAACACATGTCTGAAGCAAAATACGACTGTATGGTCGGATTTCGGCCACTGAGCGATATACAATTAACCAAATCAGTAGGCTGTTGACGAATATCCCCAATATGGCACATAGCCAACAATTCACTTCATGCACTTTGCCAATGTCGAGCATAATAAAATAAAATATACACGCGTAAGGGGTGCCTCCGGCACCTTCGGGGGGAATGGTGGTAATCTGCTTGACCCTAAATCAGCATGCTCCTAGTGGCTTTGTTGCTATTAACCTTAGCAGACTAGCTACCCAATTAAGAAGCAAGTAAAAAGTGTGTATCGTAAAAGTCTATCAATGCAAGTTTAGTTTACAGCTATGGATTTGTATTACCAAAAGTTGCATGCGTTTATTTTAAGTTTCCCAGAGCGTCATAGAACAGCTTACAACAAAAATCTGTGCAAATAATGTCTTATAATTGGAACCCGAGTTGCTGAGAGAATAAATTGTACTTTATTTGCTCACATGGTCTCATTAAGAACCGGCTCATTTCACAGGAAGAAGTCTTTTATTTCGCACGTTATTAATGTATATAGTTAGCAGTATTGTTCGGGCTATGGGTAAAACGGTCACGGCAAAAACGGTCGCGGCAAAAACGGTACTGACAAAAAAGTCCATAAAAGGCGATAATACTTATATGTAGTGATGAAAAATATTTGTTAGATAACTTTTTCGGTCACATTCTTTCACTTTTCAGGATAAGACTTTCAGGTCAAGAATCAGCATAACACATAATTTTCATTTTGTATTGTCATTGTATAAACTTTTTGTAACGCGATTGTTTTATGTGAGTAATAAAGAAATTTCTATGGTGTTTGTTGCAACTTAAAATTTCTATGGAATTTTTTTCGTTTGAAGTGTTTCTCATTTTTGGTAATCAACCAAACTCGAGTTTGATCAAATTTGATGGAATATTTTGTGTATGATTTTCGTTTTCTCTGAACTTGCATAAAATTTGACGATGTTTACGTCCATTTTTCAATGTCCTGGATAAAATTTAATGAAAACAGTTTTTATTCACAAGAAGAACTTAAAATCGAACAGACAGACACGAACCGTTTGAAAGCATTTGAAAGAATTGTCTGAAAACAGAACAAAGGAGCGGGGAGGCAGAGCCTTTAAAAAGCAAAACTGAAATAAGCTTTACCAAAATTTCGTCATAGACCCGCTCTGTAAAGTCTGTCCGCCATCATTTTCGCTACGTTTTACATCACGTCTCCTGTTCATTGGCATTGTATTTGATCCGAAACTCCTAACCCTTTACCGTCAACGTGACCGGCTCTATGGCATTTGCATGCCTAATTTGTCTGTTCGCTAACAAAGGAAATCTTTTGACTGATAGACAATGCTCAGACGGTGGTTGTTCCTCGGATGTGGACCGTTAGTTCTACTGGCTTGCGTATGCTGTTGCACCGTCGGTTTAGTCGTCTTGTTTGGGTAAGCCATTCTTTTTTATCTCTATATTGGAGGGCCTCAGGCCAACATGGATTAATTGTACTAGGCCAAATTATATTCTTTCCAGAACTAAAACAATCTCACAAAATCTTGCTTAAATTTCAGAGGTAATTCAGTACCTGTATTCATTACCTAAAGTATTGTTTGCGAAATATTTGTTTGCTTTTTAGTTTTTCAAATAACCTTTGGTTTTTGTGAACCGTTTTTTCGAGACAAAATCTTTTCTTTAGTTTCAAAGATTTAGGATGACTGGACCTTGTAGCGCTTAGGCTTGTTTAGTCTTGGTTATCTGGGATTTGATCCGAAACTCCTAACCCTTTACCGTCAACGTGACCGGCTCTATGGCATTTGCATGCCTAATTTGTCTGTTCGCTAATAAAGGAAATCTTTTGACTGATAGACAATGGTCAGACGTTTAAATCGACACAAAGAGATTTTTCTCATTCGAAAAATTTGGGCCAGACTACAAATTTTTCATTCTTTCTTCTGTTTTCAAGTCATTTAATCTTGGTTTTCTCAAATTCATTCGACGAATTGCCCGAGACTCTATTTCTCAACTCTTAATCTCAATGGCAGACTAACAGTACTCTTTCCGGAAAATATCCTGGAGCTTTGACCGTACTAAAAATTTGTCTCGATTTCAGATCCCTTGGCGATGTGTTTTCCGAGTAAAGAATTCAAGAAGGAACATCCTGTCACAGCAAAAACGATCAAGTGTTTCAAGAAAACGTCAAGCGCCGCCTGCTATCTTCTCGTGTTCGTCGTAACGCCAGTCACTGTCATCGTACTCGTGTGCCTGGGGTATGTTTATAAATGAAATCCGAGAATGAAATTTCTAGAATTAGAGAAGGCTTGGATAATATAAGAGACAAGCGTTAGATAATAACTCTGAACTTGGAGGTAAATAACAGGTCAAATAACATATTGTCTTTGCCAAAGAATGATAATTCTGTTTAGCTTGTACTGAGGAAGACCCAACCGTATAGCCTGATCCTTGAACCTTTACCTGTGCTGTGTAGCACAGCACAGGTAAATTTAACAGGCCGTAACTTTCGCATTGCGGACGTGCACTTTTTTAACTTTGACATGTTCACTTTTCAGGAAAATCTCGCCGTGGTGGCTGTTCCTGGGATGTGGACCGGTAGCTCTACTGGCTTGCGCAGGCTGCTACATCATCTGTTCTGAGTTCTGTACAGCGTAAGCCATACTTTTTTTCTCTCTTTCCGATGTTTACCCCAGTCATTTTTGTTTACCCCAGTCATTCTAAAAATTGTTTCGGAATAAGCGCGACACAATGAACTTTTCTCTCGATATTAAGCTTAAACCCAAAATATTGTTTGTTCAAATTAATTATTAAATTTGTTTAACTTTATAGCTTCTTACGGGGATTAAATGAAAGCAACGGTGATTATCATTCCGCGAGAGACCTAGCAAAGAAACTGAGAAATAGTGTGGAAATGTTTGCGTTAGAGATGCCAGTCAAACACTAGAGAGAAGGAAATACTCAAATGTCTCATTTTTTGGTTCTTTTCTAATTGAAAAATTTGCGATAGTTTGAATAAATTTTTGCGAAATATAAATGATACAATCTAGCCAACGATTTGGCTAGGTAAAAAGTCCACCCAAACCAAAAATATCCCAGCCCAAATATGGGGCGGCCATTTCCTTTTGAGCGGCCATATTTTTCTCTTTGAGCGGTTACTTTTGACGTGTCTTCAAAGGTGTTTCGGCATTTTTAGCTAAAAGGCTTAAATTATTGAAAGCAAATGCGTGAATAATTTTTAAATTATTGAATGCTTAAAAGTGACGATTTTATTTAAAAATTTTATTTCATTCTATTGCCCGTTACTTTTTTCTTCAAATTTTGCTGAAAATGCTTTCCATCAAAATCGCTGCCTTATGCGTCGTTCTCATGGCCGTCGGCGTTCAGAGTGCAGGCAAGTTCTCGAAATATAAGTCGTTCACAAAGTTCTGATGGTCTGAGGTTGGGTTGGCACAGTGAATATGGCGCGAATTTGAACTGACTTTTTGAAAAGATGAGGATTTTGAGGCTTTACAATGGATCTCGAGTTAATCTGATGAAACCTCTACATAGTAAATCGACCCCGCTGAGTCCGAATCCGGGATCAGATTTGATCTTTGATCTTTGATTTTTGAACTTTTCCTTTTAAAATATGGAAAATTGATCAAAAAGTTCAAAAATCAAAGATCAAAGATCAAATCTGATCCCGGATTCGGACTCAGCGGGGTCGATTTACTATGTAGAGGTTTCATCAGATTAACTCGAGATCCATTGAAAGCCTCAAAATCCTCATCTTTTCAAAAAGTCAGTTCAAATTCGCGCCATATTCACTGTGCCAACCCAATCTCAGACCATCAGAACTTTGTGAACGACTGATATTAAAAATTCAGCTAAAAGCTTAGGTCTGAAGCTACATAACAGTAAGAAAAATCAAAGTCGTAGTCTAAGTTGGTATATAGTGATCTTGATCAGATTTTGTATTCAGAAGTAAAAAATTTGAGAAAAATTGAAATTAATTTATTATTTTCTGAGCCTAGCATCAGCATAAGATAAAATCTCAGTCCAAGTTGTTATCCTAGCTTTCAACTTCATTTGAATGCTCGTCCAGAATGATCAGATCTGGAACTTGGTTCAGGAATCAGTATACCCTATTTTCTCCAATAAGGCCCCTTAGAGGGACATTGAAAAATAAGGGCCCGGGGTCCTAGAAACCATTCCCAGAAATCAGCATAACTGTCAAAATTATAGACTTTGATTTGACCGTCGAAGATCCTGAAGAAGCGATGTGTCTCATCGGTTGCTCCCGAGAATATCCAATTCTCATCCACCCTTGTGGATGCGCGCGTCGGTCCGCATGCAGAATGGGATGTCACAAAGACGATGAAGTTCGGGTTGACATTTTGGGCGGTAATGTCTGCCAATGTCGAAAACCTTGGAAGGTCCTGCACGGGAAATGATGCAATTCTGTGTTTTTGATAAAATGTTTTGAAATTGTTTCAACTTTGGAATAAAAGTTCAAACACGTTTTTATGTTCTTTTTTTTTCAGGTGACAGATAAATAGGACTGATTAACAAGCCAAGACATGGGCCTCTGTGGCGCAGTAGCAGCGCGTCAGTCTCATAATCTGAAGGTCGTGAGGGCGGAACTCACCAGGGGCATCTTTTTTTTTGTTTTTTGAAAAATGAAAGAATTTGAAAAAATAAAAACTGAGCTTAATAATTTTTGACATTTTTGACATTAGTTTTATATTTATTTTTACTCCGGCCGCTTACATTTTGAAGTGGATTTAAACTATTTCGCGGCAGATAAAATTCACCAAAACACGTCATCAAATTTCAATGAGGCGGTATGAATCAAAGAATTTTCTGCCCACACAGAGCACGTCTTTATGTGCTCGCAGGTTTGAATATTTATGATTTTTTGGTGAATTTTGAATGAAATGAAAATTTTCGAAATAAGCTGAGCTTATAATAAATATACAAAGTTTCATACGGAAATTCGTCATAGCTGTGCTTATAGGTATACGATTATGCAATATTAAAGCAATATGACGAACAGTCTTGTTTTTAAGCTACAGCACACTTATACCGTTCTGATAAAAAAAAGACCACCCCAAAAGCTCATCAGGAACGTCAAAAAGCTCCGATTCCTGTTCGAAAGACCCAAAATGCCGTAGAAAAGAGTTCGGCCAGGGTAAATGGAAAAAAACTATTTGTCGAAAAACTGAGTCTAGGTAAAAATCCCCCCGCGGACTTTTTTTGCCATAACTTTTTACTGGAACATTCTAGAAGGATGAGTAACAGCTTAAATCAAAACTAAGACTCTGGGCTATCGATTGGTATATCATACGCCGGATCTCGATTCAAGATTCTCGAGATTTAATTATTTTTGTCTTAAATTCTGGAATTTGCAAAAAAAGTTGAAATTTTGAGACAAAAATAATTAAATCTCGAGAATCTTGAATCGAGATGAGGCGGGTAATATACCGATTTGTAGCCCAGAGTCTTAGCTTTGACTTAAGCTATTACTCATCCTTCTAGAATGTTCCAGTAAAAAGTTATGCCAAAAAATGGCCGCGGGGCGGGATTTTTACCGGGGGGGGGGATTTTTACCCATTCCTCGAAAAACTTCCATGACCGCCCAAAAACTCAAGCCGATACCGACAAGATTGAAACGCATGCTAAATATTTCAAGGATCAGAAGGTTATTTTTCCTCTCACTGCTATCAATACCATGGTGGGGAAATTCGGCAAAATCAAAGGAAGGCTTAGCCGAGGACCATTCCGCTTGGGACCAACCCCTGTTTAAACAATATTTTACAAATACCAGGATTTTAACGAAAAGCGAAAAAAACCGTACCAATGGATAGAGCTTAAAAAGTTGGTATATATTAGCGATATCAAACAAACGTTTCTTTACGTTGAGATTTCAGGGGGTTGAGAAGCGGAAAAAACGCATTCTTAGGGGGGTTTTTAAAAATTTTCTCGAAAATTTTGAAAACCATAGGGGACTCTATGGTTTTTTTGGCTTCCGAATTTCGGGGGTGGGGGGGGGTTACAACTCACCAACCCCCCTAGTTACATGCCTGAGAACAATCATGATACAGAAAGACGGTACAAAAAAATTGGGTATACTGTAGGGGTCTATGCTTGAGGACCAATTAAAGGATTTACGGTATTACAAGTTTGAAATGTAACCATTTATTGAATGAATTTTTATTATAAAATGAGCAGTGATTAATACAAATGCAATACATCATCAATACTGCTGATTCGGATCACTCGTTGATTCGGATCACAAGTCGTGATACGGTCCGACCAAGTTAACGGTGATTTCTCCATCGTACTTCTCCCACGGAGCACTCAAGATTGTGGCCACGTAGAGCTGAAAATTTATGATGATGATGACATGATCCTAATACAAAAAAATGTACCTCAGGAGCGTCTTCCTTCAACTGGCAATGCTCATCGCTGCCAAGGTTTACCACTTCCTGAAATTCCAAAGATGACTGGATATGGAAAGCCTCTCTACATGGTGGGGAAATTCGGCAAAATCAAAGGAAGAGGACCATTCCGCTTGGGACCAACCTCTGTTTAAACAATATTTTACAAATACCAGGATTTTAACGAAAGGCGAAAAAATCTCCGGTTGTTTGTTTTTACAACTGTTCAAAAATCGACTTTCAAGGGGTTCCCCCCCTTTTTTTGGGGGAAAAAATTTAAAAAAATTTTTTTTTGGGTTAAAACCCCCCAAAAAAAAAACCCCTTACCCCCCCCCCCGGGGGGGGGGCCCCCCCCCCCCCCAAAAAAAGGAGGGGGGGAAACCCCTTTGGGGGGGTTTCCAAATAAAAAATTTTTTTCCCCCCCCCTTTTTAAAAAAAAAAAACCGGGGGCCCGAAAAAAAAATTTTTTTTTAAAAGGAAAAAATTTTTTTTAAAGGGCCCCTTTTTTTAAACCCCCCCCCCCCCCCAAGGGGTTGGGTTTTTTTCCCCCTTTTTTTTCCCCCTTTGAAAAATTTCCCCTTTTCTTTTTTTTTTGGGGGAAAAAATTTTTTCCCCAAAAAATTTTTTTTTTTTTCCCCCCAAAATTTTAAAAAAAAAAATTTTTTTTGGAAAAATTTTTTTTTTTTTTGGGGGGTTTTTTGGAATTTTTTGGGGAAAAAGGGGTTTGGAAAACCCAAAATTTTTCCCCCCGGGTTTGGGGAAAACCCCCGTAAACCCCCCCTTTTTCCCCCCCCTTTTCCCCCCTTTCCCCCTTTTTCCCCCGGGGGGGAAATTTTTTCGGAATTTTTTTCCTTTTTAAGGGAAAATTTTTAAAAAAAAAAAATTTTTTTCCCCCAAAATTTTTTTTAAAAATTTTTTTTTAAACCCCCCCCCGGTTTTTTTTTTAAAAAATTTTTTTTTAAATTTTAAAAATTTTGGGGTTTTAAAAATTTTTTAAAATTTTTTGGGAAAAAAGGGTTTTTTTTTGGGAAAAAAAATTTTTTTTTTGGGGGGGAAAAAAAAATTTTTTTTTTTATTTTTTTTTTCCCCTTTTTTAAAAAAGGGAATTTTTTTTTTAAATTTTTTTTTTCCCCCCTTTTAATTTTTTTTTTTAAAAAAAAAAAAAAAAAAATTTTTTTTTTTAAAAAAATTTTTTTTTGGGGGCCCTTTTTTTTTCCCCTTTTTTTCCCCCAAAAATTTCCCCCAAAAAATTTCTTTTTTTTGGGGGGGGGGGCCCAAATTCCCCCCCCCTTTTTTAACCCGGGGTTTTTTAAGGGTTCCCCGGTTTTTAAAATTTTTTTTTAAAAAAATGGGGGGGGCCCCCCCCCAAAAAAAAGGGGGTTTTTTTTTTTTTTAAAAAAAAAAAAAAACCCAAAACCTTTCCTTTTTTTTTTTTTTAAAAAAAAAAATTTTTTTTTTTTAAACCCCCCCTTTTTTAAAAATTTTTCCGGCTTTAAAAATTTTTGGGAAAGGGGAAAATTTTTTTCAAAAATTTTTTGGGTTTTTTTTTTTTTAAAAAAAAAAATTTTTTTGGGAAAAATTAGGGAATTTTTTTAAAAATTTTTTTAAAAAAAAAAAAGGGAAAAAAAAATTTTTTTAAAAAAATAAAAAATTATTTTTAAAAAATTTTAAAAAATTTTAAAAAAAAAAAAAGGGGGAAAAAAAAAAAAAAAAGGGAAAAAAATTTTTGGGGGGAAAAAAAACCCCCCCGGGGGTTTTTTAAAGGGGCCCCCCCCAAAAGCCCTTTGGGGGGCCGGGTTTTTTTTTTTTTTGGGGAAAAATTTTTTTTAAAAAAATTTTTAAAAAAATTTTTTAAAAAAAAAAAACCCTTTTTAATTTTTTTTTTTTTTTTTTAAAGGCCCCCCCCCCTTTAAAACCCCCCCCTTTTTTTTTAAAAATTTTTTAACGGGAAATTTTTTAAAATAATAAATTTAAAAAAAAATTTTTTTAAAAAATTTTAAAATTTTGGGTTTGGTTAAAACCGGTTTTTTTTTTTAAATTTTTTTCAAAAAATTGTTTTTCAAAATTTTTTTTTCCCCAAAAAAAAAATTTTTAAAAATTTTTTTTTTTTTTTTTTTTTTAAAAAAAAAGGGGGCCCCGGGGGGGAAAAAAATTTAAAAAAACCTTTTCCCCCCCCCCCCAAAAACCCAAAAAAAAAAAATTTAAAAAAAAAAAAAATTTTTTTAAAAAAAAAAAAAAAATTTTTTTAAAAAAAAATTTTTTAAAATAAAATTTTTTTCCCGGGAAAAATAAAAAAAAAAAATTAGGGAAAAAGGGAAAAAAGGAAAAAAAAAATTTTAAACCGGGAAAAAAAAGGAAAAAACCTTTTTTGGGGGGGGGGGAAAAAAAAATTTTTTGGAAATTTTTTTAAAAATTTTTGGGAAAAAAAAAAAAATTTTTTAAAAATTTTTTTAAAAAGGGTTTTTTAAAAAAAATTTTTAAAAAAAAATTTAAATTAAAATTTTAAAAAAATTTTTTAAAAAGGGGGGCCCCTTGGGGTATTACGCTAATATTTTTGATATGATAGATTATTGGCAGATCACCTGGTATTACTCCAAGCATTGAAATAAATGTTCACTTGTAAACCAACTTGCACTTTTATTTTACTTGTAATAATTGCTAATAATTCAGTTGTTAACAAGTCTTTGCTAGTTGTGTCGCTGAAAACCATAGTTTTTTGTTCCACGAATTCGTTTCTCGCCCTGCGGATGTCTTGAAAATATTTTCTGGAATTAAACAGCTCCGGCCCGCGCCTCGCGCGGTTGAATTTGATCCTGAATTCGAACTCTCTTATAAAACTCTCGAAAAATTACTCTTATAACTTTACCAGAGCCCCGAAAATCGGTAAACAATTAATCTATCGCATCTATGCCCGGAGCTACGACGCTCTTCGATGACAGCAGACATTGGTGTCTGAGCAAATCGCGTCTGCTCCCTGTAAACCACAGTGGTTTTGCTAGGGAGCCTACGCATAGGATCATCGATCTTGAATAGGCTCATGAGCTAGACACTACGTGGCTCTGGCGGATGAGAGACGACATGGCCACGAAGTCTATCAGCCCGACGTATAGAGACAGTAGTGACATGCAATACTACCCAAGGGAGATGAAGCCAGACATTAGTAGTGCTGTGAGGTAAAACAGTGCGAGGTAAAATAGTGCACAGACGTTAAAATAT